CACCTTCCGTGTTCCAGGCAGGGCCGGATTAACCATTAGGGCAACTGGGCACTTGCCCAGGGGCCCACTACGTCTAAGGGGCCCTGGGCACCAGCGGCGGAGTGGCAATCGGGAGAGTTGGGAGTTTCTCCGGTGAGCAGGTAGTGTTTATTATTTGAATAATTATTAATAAATAATTATTTGATCAGTCTGTTATTTGAATAGCTGAAGTGTTATCATATATTCAGGAAAACTTTCTTATATTTGATGAAATAGCAGATGAGCAAGCATCAGTCTCTCTGAACAGAGCTCAAGTAGGTTCTACTGCACAATTAGATACATACCCAGGGGAGACCACAATTTCTCGAGAAGACAAACCACTACAATACTGGGCAGTTAACAAAGTGCAGTTCCCTACTCTGGCCAAAATGGCATCCAGATACCTCTCAGCACCATGCAGTAGTGTTGACAGTGAAAGGCTGTTCAGCTCAGTGTCACATATTGTGAATGAAAGCAGAAACAGAATCACAGCTGATCATGCAGAGATGATTTTGTTCATCAAAAATAACCTGCCTCTCACTCAACCAAAAATTAACTAAGAGATTAGCTAAGAGATTCAGAAGAAGTTCAGATCACATTGCTGACTGAAATGTTTGTTTAATTGAAACATGGGAACTGTCACTTTGCAAAATAGTTATTGTTTAATTTAATTGTTGTTTAATTGAAATATGCAGTAGTTTAATTGAGACTATGCAATATTAATGTTTTGTTTAATTGAAATGTTAATGTTTAATTGAGACTATGAAACAGTTGCATTCAAATTTTGTTAAATTGAAAGCTGGAGATTGTGTCAAATAGTTTCATTGATATATTGTCGAGTTGACGGTGTTGACTGTACAATATGTTTTATTGATATTTTGTCAGTTGTGAAGACAGAACCAGTGTTGAGGCTTTTTGTTTACACAGAAATATAATTTATATAATTTATTTTTTATTTGAAATTGCCTACATTTATTGTTTGACTCATTATTTATTTTTCTACATTTATTGTTTATTGTCTTCTAACCTGTGTTCTAAAATAGCATTCTGTCTTCTTTTCTGGGTGCCTATAGTTACTTTTGCGGTAGAAATATAGGTATCGTACTTGGTATCGGCAAGTACACAAATGTAAATACTCATACTCGTATCGGTTTGAAAAAAATGGTATCGGGCCATCCCTAGTTATGTCATCACCTCGCAATGTGTCACCATGGACCAGAGGAAGGTGGATGCCGTCACCCGTTGGCCGCGCCCTACCAACATCAAGGAACTCGAACGTTTCCTGGGCTTCGCCAACTTCTACCATCGATTCATCAAGGGTTTCAGTTAGATCAGCGCTCCTATCACTTCTCTCCTCAAAAGTGGGGCCAAGTCTCTGTCCTGGACCACTCAGGCTACCAGCGCCTTCGAAGAGCTGAAGAGGTCCTTCAGTTCTGCTCCTACCCTCATCTTTCCTGATCCTGAGCTCCCATTCTTTGTAGAAGTCGATGCCTCCACCACCGGAGTAGGAGCAGTCCTCTCACAGCGGCAGGGGACACCACTCCGACTCCATCCAGGCGCCTTCTTTTCCAAGAAACTGTCCCCGGCGGAGCAGAATTATGATATCGGTAACCGAGAACTGCTCGCCATCAAGCTCGCTTTGGAGGAGTGGAGGCACTGGCTGGAGGGAGCCAAGCATTCTTTCATCGTTATCACCGATCACCGCAACCTAGAATACTTACGTGAAGCCAGAAGACTGAATACCTGTCAGGCCTGCTGGGCGCTCTTCTTCACCCGCCTCAACTTCAAGGTCAGCTATCGCCCAGGTCCAAAGAACATCAAGGCGGATGCCCTGTCTCGTCAGTTCCACCTGGATTCCTGCCCATCTGTTCCAGATACCATCCTCCCTCCAGCCTTAGTCGTCAGCCCCATCCAGTGGAGCTTGGATGATCATATCGCCGAAGCCACCCAGTCTGAACCTGCTCCGCCGGGAGGTCCTGAGGGACGGGTCTACGTACCCACACGGCTCCGTCTGTCCCTCATGGACTGAGTGCATACATCCCCAGGCTCTGGACACCCAGGCAGCCAAACATGACCCAGGATGTCTCCCGGTACGTAAAGGGATGCTCAGTCTGTGCCATGGCCAAGGTTCCACGCCGCCTTCCGGAGAGAAAGCTTGAACCCCTTCCTGTACTCACACAACCCTGGTCTCACCTAGGGGTGGATTTCGTCACTGACCTGCCAGTATCTGATTCTCATACCTGCATCCTGGTGGTCGTAGATCGGTTCTCCAAAGCCTGTAAGCTCATCCCCTTGGCCGGTCTGCCAACAGCCTTTGAAACCGCTGAAACACTCTTTCACCAAATCTTTCGACACTTCGGCATCCCCGAAGACATAGTATCTGACCGTGGACCCCAGTTCATCTCTTGCGTGTGGAAGGCATTCTTCAATCTGCTAGGGGTTTCCGTCAGCTTAACCTCCGGATACCCCAGTCCAACGGCCAGACTGAGCGGAAGATTCAGGAGATCGGGAGATACCTGCGGTCATACTGCCATGACCATCAGGACTGCTGGAGCCGTTATCTTTCCTGGGCCGAGTTTGCACAGAACTCCCTTCGTCAATCTTCTACCGGACTCACTCCCTTCCAGTGCATACTCGGTTTCCAACCACCACTATTTCCTTGGAATGGAGAACCCTCCGACATTCCAGCAGTCCATCATTGGTTCCAGATGAGCGAGAGGGTCTGGGACTCAGCCCATGTACACCTCCAGCGGGCTGTCCGGAGACATAAGAGCCAGGTTGACGCCAGACGTTCTGCAACCCCACACTGTCAACCAGGGCAGTTGGTCTGGCTCTCTACCCGGGATATCCGTCTCCGACAGCCCTGTCGTAAGCTGAGTCCCAGATATAGGTCCATTCGCCATACAGAGGCAAATCAATGAGGTCACCTACCGATTATCACTCCCGGCTCACTATCGAATCTCACCATCATTCCATGTTTCATTGCTCAAACCCTACACTAATCCCCTTCTTCCTCCTTCCCCAGGGTCTGGTACTGAAGATGTACCTCCTCCTCCTGCGAACCCCGATGACGACAGTATCTACCAGATCCACGAGATTCTGCACTCCCGACGACGGGGGGGCCGGTTAGAATACCTCGTGGACTGGGAAGGCTTCAGTGCCGAGGAAAGGTGCTGAGTTCCTCGTGAGGACATTCTGGACCCTACTCTCCTTCAAGACTTCCACTCCGCTCACCCAACTCGTCCGGCACCTAGAGGTCGTGGCCGCCCCCGTCGTCAGTCCATCACGCCAGCTGGAGCTGGCCGTGGAGGGGGGGGGGGTACTGTCACAGATACACCAGCTTCAGTGCCAGATTCCTTCACTCCGCCCACCCGATCTACATCCCCGGAATTCTAATCATCATCACCTGTCACCGCCACCCGCACGCAAGCCCCATCTCATTCACCAGCACCATAAAAGACTCCCCCGTTCACCTCCTCAGTTGTCTGGTCTCATCGCTACTAAATACTTCAGACTCCCGCCATTCCAAAGACTACTTACCTGACACTTACCTGCTTCCAGTCCTTCGTCCAGTCCATCTTCTGCCTACTCTCTGGTCCGGATCCGGTTCCTCTGATTCACGTCTGCTACCAGCCTGCCATTCTCATTCATCCTGCCCAGATAAGAGACTCTGTTTACAAGACTGTTCCACGATACCTGCTATTCTCTACTTTCCATTTACTCACCTGGCATTATCCACTGTACAACATCTGCAATAAACCTGTTAAACTTACCAGTCTGTCTTCCAATCCATGACACCAAGATGTTCCATATTTTTTTTATTTAATTCGCTTTATTTTAACATTTGACAACTCTGTTAACAAACAGAGCACTTCTGTGAGGTAGCTTGAACAATCAATAAACATAAATTCTTCACTTTTGGACTTTAGTGCAAAAGTATATATTAAAAAAAGTCTAATATAAAAACAAGTAGAACTCATTACGACATCATATTGTGATATCTTGGCTGTGATGTCCTGCAGCTTCTCACAATCAAGGGGATTTTCCTCCCTATTCTTCAGACTCTCCTGCAGCGTGAGCCGACTCATCTTCGGCGGGGTTGCCTGGGTAAACTCGCTGTATTGTGTCGGGTGTTTGTTTTTGAGGAGCTGTATCAGGTTTGTTGTGTTAAATGTAGCCTTTTTTTCTTTCCACCTCTTGAGATCCCAAGTTTACATATCTCACAGTTTGCTATGGCAATGTTGTTGTCATCTCTGGTCATATCAGAATTTGTCAAAACCTAGACTTTCAACCATCAACATTTAATTTATTAATATGTATTCGTGTGCAAAATAACATATAAACATCTTTTCCTATTCTATTTTGCCTGGAAACGCTTCCAACGTGTGCGTCACTTGTTAAATAGGCGTCGGTTCTATTTCTAGCATGCACGCATTTTCCGCACGGCTCGAGTGCGCCTGAGTGTGTCACTCAGGCAGTCTGCAAGCTCTAATCTGTTAACATGGGAGCCGAAATAAAAACGGACACGCCTTGCAGCTGAGATGCAGCCACGCAGCCACTGTGTCACAGGACACTCTGTGCCACCGCATAATTATAGATGTGTTAAAAATACTGAGAATATATATACATGTATATCCGAGTCCTGATCGGGAGGTAACATCCGATTCCGATCAAGTCTGAAACCACGTGTTCGGGCCCAATTTCCGATCACGTGATCGGATCGGGACATTCCTGATATGTATTATTACAATTGTAATCATTTAGATTATGATCATGACTATTATAGCTTGTGGTACACTACTGTAATGTCTGCTCCCAGGGAAGGGTGAAATCCACAGCTGTGACAGATGTACACACAGATGTACAGCTAGTTTTTTAATCAAATAATTGTGAAATGCATTTTAGCATTTTACTTAATGATTTATGCTTTAGAACTTGATCATTTTAATGAATTTATAATATTTTAAAATAGCAATACGCACAGTAGTTTCTCTAGTTTACAGCGAGGATCCTTCAGTAAACCAGAGAGCAGCTTCACTCCTGCGTCTCCAGGTTTATTCCAAGTTAGATTCAGATCTCTTAGGTGTGAGGGGTTTGATCTCAGAGCAGAAATCAGAGCAGCACAACCTTCCTCTCCAATACCGCAGTGTTCCAGCCTGCAGAGAGGAGAAAAAACCCCTATGTTTCTGTGTGATGTAGTAATTTTCTCTCCAAACTGAGGACACAACATTGACTGTCTAAACATGGAAAACATGATGACAATTTACTATCATAAAATAATATAGTAAAAAAATGCACTCTCTGATTAACAAAAGTACGAATTTTTTTTTTCAACATTTGAGAGCTAAGATGAGACTTTTTTGTGAGTGACTCTGCCACATTAGGCCTAAAAACCTACAAATACACTCAGTTACTTTGACCAAAATTAAGAAAAAGATAAACTGCTAATGAAAAGTAATACATTTGTTCTCTTGAGTGTTCTTTTCGAGACCTAATTGAAGTTCTCAGTGACAACTCATCTTTTAAGGTGAGTTATGTCTGGCATATTATGGTAGTAATTTATTTTTAATGATTTTTTTTTATTTGGGAAATACATAGGACTTCCTCCTGCAGAAGGAAAGAAATAGTATTATTTTGATAACGGAGTCACGTGAAATGGGGCCTAATTGAGTTGGTGAAATGCTAGGTACCTAGGGAGTATAGCAGCTCTTTTTTTATTTTTTATTTCAACTCTCAAGTGTCAGAAGGACTATTTTGTCTTGGGGCCTGTAAACAGATTATTCTTTTAAACAACTATACAGTTTCTTTTTTCTTTTATTGCTCAATGTCTTTGATAATTAAGGACTATTCCATATTTTATTATTGGAGGCTTTACTCAAGGACAATTTCTTTTCTCCTTTACTGGACAAGTTTGTATTTGTTATGCCATTAAGTTTAATACATGGTTTATTTGCTATTTGATTTATGATTCAGTTTTTTTCTTGCCTTCATGAAGAGTAACATTTGCTTGCTACTGAATTTAAAATACAGTTAGAGTTTTTCTGAACTTTAAAGTTACATTTGGTTTAGTGAAAATTATGAGAAACTGCTAATGGGCTTTATGCACAGCTGCACTACTTCCTGAACTTCAGCCAGCTTCTTGTTTCCTGTCTGCCATTATTGGCCAAATTGATTAATTTAGGTGTGTCTGATTATTGTTGCCATGACAACTGAGGTCAGGCACACCTGGATTAATCAATTTGGCCAATAACTGGCATAAAGCCCATTGAAATTTAGTTCTTAGAATTTTTATTTTCTTAGCATTCCAGGGAACGGGTATTTCATGCTGAGAATGAAGACTGCTCATTCTAATTCCGAGGCAAGGATAATTCACAAGTATAAGTCCCTTCCTTTAAAGCTGCAGTAGGTAACTTTTGTAAACAAACATGTTTTGACAGTAGAATATAGATAATCTGTGAAAAAATTAAACTCCTCTGGCTCCTCCGAGAGGTCCAATTGCCATTTGCAGAAATACACCGCTCCCGGCCAGAAACAACCAATCAGAGCCAGGAGGAGTATCTTAGCAGTGTCAATCATGCTCGTGTACGTGCTGTTTACACCCCTCTCTTGCACATTGCACCATCATTCAAACCAAACTCAAGATTGTGTGTTATAGCTGTGCTGATGGCGGAGAAACAACCCAAACTGACAATTTCTCAAGTGGCACCTGCTCATAAAACAAAGACGGGTAAAAGGAAAAAAAATATGACGATAAACAAGCAAAAGAGAAAGAATTAGACAGAGCCCATTGACTCAGTGTCAAAACTCTAGCCACTTGACATGTAGATATAATGTCACACACTGTGCAAAGCAACAATTGAAACCTACTAATTCACTGGCTTGTCATGTTGCTGAAATAATATTTTGGCGAGCAGGACGAGGCCGAGGGTCAGTGACATGACAGCGGCGTGAGGCCGGTAGCTTTAGTGATAATGTACAACACCTGTGAGAAGCACCAGTCTCGCATCTCTCACGGAGGAGTGGAGGCATAAAGGAGCAACGACAGTGGAGAAAAGGAACAGGCCTGATTTTATGTTGTGATTTTTTTATGTTCTGTTTTGTGTGTGGTCCGTGAGGGGCTGCTGGCTTATACTTTCATTGTATATTTGTTTATTTATTAATTAAACTTGTTGAAAATTCACCGGTTCCCGCCTCCTTCTTCCCATAACAACTGAACCCCATAACAAATGTACTAGCAAACCTTATCTAGCATTAGGCCTATATATCGCTAGAATAATTACTTGAATCATATTACACAAGTTACGTTAGTTACCATTATATTATCTTACTAGCTATTTATAACTTATAAAGTTACATTACATGTATTGCAAAATACTTAATGATTTGAGGACCAAGTTTGTAGTCAAAGTATGGGCAGCCCTTAGTCAATGTAAAGCATATTGTTGATGTATCGTCCCTACTTGTGAATGTAGCATAACTGGTTATCCGCCATCATCGGTGTCCCTGCTTACTAGCCTGCACATTCACTGCAGGCTCTGCTGTGGAGGGAGGGCTGTAGCGCAGCAGAGAGCAAGGGGGCGGGACCAGTAAGTTGTGCTTGTTCAAATTTTCAGGCTAAGTCAACGTTTTCTCAAAAGAAACCTACTGCAGCTTTAAATCCTCAAGATGTATACATGAACCAGGTATCCTTGGCTGAGATAAGCTTTGTTAAGTGAGTTTTATATCAACAGTCAAGCTGAAGAGAGTAATAAGGATGCCCAAACAGCTCTGAATATTTTAGGAAGTGAGATTGGGAGAATAGATTCTGAAATAACAAATACTCTCACAAACAGTCAAAAAATTACAGGCTGAATTTAACACATTAAAAGGTGATTTTTTGATCGTCCCGTAAAAGTTCAGTGAAGAGCCAAGCTATATTCAGGTAGTGAGTCGAAATTCTTATGCAAAGTTTATTTGCTAGTTAGAACAAATAACAGCATTTACTGAACCATCACTTTTAACCCCCTGAGCCCGACGGCATCGTTGACGATGCCACACGTCACCTCCGATAAATGTTTACATAACTCGATGACAGATTTATCAATTTTCTTACCGTTTTTTCCAGCAGAAAGCTAACGAGCTAGCCATCACGGGGGTGTCTTTCGGGTCTTTCTAGCCTTTACAGAAGGTTTTCTATCCAGCCTGGAACTTGTGCTTCCTTTCAGAGGTTTTCAGCAATAAATCCAAAAGCATTATGTCAAACTTTGATACTCTTGAAGTCCATAATTCATAAATATTCCGTCATTTTTGCCGCTAGCTCGATGCTAACGGACATTCTGGATATCACGTGATGTTTTCACGTGATGTTTTTTGACCAATTACAGGCTGATCCGTTGTAAACATTGGTGTGCGTCATTACGCATGAACCAAGCGCTGATATAGTGTAGAGAGATAGAGAGACTCACGGAGACGCGCGATTCACAGAGAAACACAGCGAAATGGACGTAAATAAAGCGCTGGTCTATTTTGGTGCATTGCAGGATGATGGATTTTCAGGAGAACAGAGCTTTTTGACAGATGAGGAACTAGATTACCAGGATAGACCCAGCTGAAGTGCCATTTATTTATTTACTGTAAAAAAGTATTATAGTAGTATAAATGTATTATAAAAGAATAAAAAGAATATAATAAATAAAATAATAAATAAAATAGAAATGCAAAGCCTGTGATGTGGCCCTCTGTGTGATTGCTGATAGGAACTGTTTTGAGGCTTGGCACCAGTGAATTTCATGAGGCCCCAAACGCCTGGACTTTTTTTGGAAAAATGTCAATAGTTTTTGTTCTGTACAAGTTATAATGTTTATTCCTGTGCTCCAGGACTCCAAAGACATGAACAAACTATTTTCCAGAGGAAAATTGCTTAGCTTTTATTTATTTGTGTGTGATTTCAATAAATAATTGAGTGATTCAATTTCCGATTTATTTTTTCATTTGTCTTTATGGTCCCATAACTTATTTTACATTCAGGTGACATCAAAGTAACACAAATATGCTGAAAGTTCAATTTGTCCTGAAAAAAAAGATGTGTGTCAATTGTCTGTGCACCAAAGGGTTGATATTTTACAAGCTTTTTTTAGTAAATGACACCAGACGGAAAATTTATTGTAAAAATACCCTTAGGTCTCAGAGAGTTAACTTTATTTAGGTTGGTCAGCAGCAGTAAACACACGAACACACACACACACACACACACACACACACACACACAAACTCTGCCGAACTTAAGAGAATCTTACTTTAATGTCTCCAGTTTACAATGAGGATTCTTCAGTCCATCAGAAAGCATCTTTCCTCCTGAATCCTTCAGCTCATTGTGACTCAGGTTCAACCCTATCAGACAGGAGTCGTTTGAGCTGAGAGCTGAGGCCAGTGATGAACAGATTTGACCTGTGAGATTACACTCACTCAGACTAAGATTAAAAGGGATAACATAAATTAACATTAGTACACAGTTAAAGAATTAAGTAAAGACCAGTTTCCAATAACTCAAACTAGACTGATGCAAATGTTTGTATCACACTCTATTACATTTTTTTAATTTTAATTAAATCTGTATCACCTTCAAAATTAAATTGAATAATATGAAATGAAAATGTAATATGAAATTTTAACAATGAAGAATAATTTACATTTTAAATACTCACTCAGCTTTTCTAGATGCTTTGATCACTTGCAGCAGCCTCAGAAGACACTGCTCTGATCTATGATATTTCCTCAGTTTAAACTCATCCAGCTCCTCTTTTGAGTTTAGTAAGACAAAAACCAGAGCTGACCAATGCGCAGAAGAGAGTTTGACTCCAGAGAGACGACTGAATCCTGTTTTGCGCAGATATGTTTGGACTTCCTGCACTAAAGAATGATCATTCAGTTCATTCAGACAGTGGAACAGATTGATAGATTTCTCTGAAGTGGGAATCTCCCTGATCTTCATCTTAATGTAATCCACTATGTCCTGTTTGCTGTGAGACCTAGTTCCTGTCTGTGTCAGTAAACCTTGTAAGAGTATCTGATTGGACTCCAGTGAGAGACCCAGAAGGAATCGGAGGAAAAGATCCAGGTGTCCCTTTTCACTCTGTAAGGCCTTGTCCACTTCAGTCTTCAGTAAATCAGTCATTGCTGTCTCATTTTCTTTGTCTTGATGAAACATTAGAAACTTAAAAACAGCAGCCAGAAACTCCTGAACACTCAGATGTACAAAGCTGAACACCTTCCCAAGATACAGTCCAAACTCCTCTCTGAAGATTTGGGTACAAACTCCTGAGTACACTAATGCTTCTTTGTCATCAATGCCGCATTCTCTCAGGTCCTCCTCATAGAAGATCAGCCTCCGTTTCTCCAGTTGTTCAAAAGCCAGTTTTCCCAGAGCAAGAATACTTTTTCTAGCCTGATGAAGATCTACTTCACATTTCCCATCATACTTCTGGGTCTTCAGGTTGGTCTGAAAGATCAGGAAGTGTGTGAACATTTCAGTAAGAGTCTTGGGGATCTCTGCACTTTCTGCTTCACCCAACATCCTCTCTAGAACACTGGATGAAATCAAACAAAAAACTGGAATGTGACACATAATGTACAAGCTTCTGAATGATTTGATATGTGTGATGATCCTATTGGCCAGACTCTGATCAGTTATTTTCTTCCTGAAATACGTGTCCTTCTGAGGGTCTTTGAACCCTCGTATCTCTGTGAGCTGGTCAACACACTCAGGAGGTATCTGATTGGCTGCTGCTGGTCGAGAGGTGATCCAGAGGAGAGCAGAAGGAAGCAGATTCCCCTTGGTAAGGTTGGTCAGCAGCACATCCACTGATGCTGAATCTGTAATATCCCATAAAATGTTATTGTTCTGGAAATCTAGAGGAAGTCGACACTCATCCAGACCATCAAAGATGATCAGTATTTTAAAGTCACTATAATCTATTGATTTCAGTTCCTTCATTTCTGTGAAAAATTGATGGAGAAGCTCCTTCAGACTGATATTTTCCTGCTTCACCAAATTGAGTTCTCTGTAAGGAAGTGGAAATATGAAGTGAATGTCCTGATTTGCTTTTCCTTCAGCCCAGTCCAGAATAAACTTCTGCACAGAGACTGTTTTTCCTATGCCAGCGATTCCTTTAGTCAGCACAGTTCTGATGGGTTTGTCTTGTCCAGGTAAAGGTCTAAAGATGTCATTGCATTTGATGGCGGATTCCTCTGTCCCTGGTCTCCTGTTAGCAGTATCAATCTGTCTCACCTCATGCTCATCATTTAAGTCTTCACTTCCTCCCTCTGTGATGTAGAGCTCTGTGTAGATCTCATTCAGACTTGTTGAGTTTTTTTGATTTGAGATTCCTTCTATAACCCTCTGATATTTCTGCTTCAGTCTGAATTTTAGTTTTTGTTGATACGCAGAGATCAGTTCTGAGGAGCAAGAAGAATAATATTTTGAAATAAGAGATCTCTGTATGACTAAAATCATCAATAGATATCACTGGATCAGATGTAGATTTCTGTTTTAGAGTGATACATCGGTTTAATATATCACACTAGACACGTAAGTAGAGCTTGGGCAGTACTTTTTTCCAACGCCAATGTTAAACCTATGTTTTTCTTCCTCATTTTTGACAAAAAGATTGTACTTTTTAATTTATTTTTTTATTTTTACATTATCAGAATGGTACGATCTTGTTAAAGGTTTTGGCACTTAATTGTGACACCTCTCCTTGCTTATTGCATGTCCTGCATAAGGTTAGAGTTGTTTTAGAACGCATAACCATAAATGTCGTGAGGTGAACACCCTTATGGCAGAACGCCATCATGAACTGTGAGCACTCAGGATCAACTGAATGTTGGATTTTCACAAGTATGTGAAGTTCGAGACTCCATTGTTGCATTAAACTTGCACAACGTTCTTGATAGAATAATTAATTAGATTTATGCCAGTCTGTTATTGTAGGGACATCGACTTACTTGTTCACACTAAACATGATGCAGAACAAAACGAACTGTGATTGGTTGCATTACAGTTTGTTTATTCTTAAATGCATGTAACTGAATGTGTTTTGTAATTTAAGAAACCTTTATAACGATCCTGATTCATGTTAGTTGATCTATAACCCCTTGGCCCTACCCCTTGTTTGAGTGTACCCCTTGACCCTTAAAACAGTTATATGGGCCAAGGGGTTGAAATATTCCCCTACGAAATGGAACAACCCTCCATAAACCCGATACGTCATCAGTCGATAGCGATGGCTCTGTTGTTACGGAGTTTTTACAGGATTTCTCCATGACAACGACTGAAAATGAGCGCAGCTGCTCTTAACTTTGAGGAAACATGATGAATATACATTCCTTCCTTGAAATGTATGTCTTTTCTGTTTTGGAAAGGTAATTTATTATACAATTTCGTGCGTAAATTAAGAGTAAATTAAGTGCACGGTGGCGTCATCTGGGGCTAAATTTAAATGTTTAACCATTTGCGAAGCCATCTCGCCAGTGATTCACGATGCATTCTGCGAACTTTCTCATAGCCCTCTGTTTGGAGTGTGGCTCTGAAAAATCGACATTTCGAGGGCTATGTAGCCCTACCCCTTGATCGCAACAAGAATCGGGACACCCTACCTCTAGACGTGAACGCGTAAAACGGAGGTGTAGGGCCAAGGGATGAATTGGGATTGATCCTTAGTATGCACCGCAGTTCAGAGAATTGTATCAGTCAGATTTAGCTACAACATGTCAATTCATCAACTTCTCCTGAAATACATTAAAGTTTATAAACTTCTGTTTATATATATCATGCTCCATTAATAAAGGAGTCCAGACATTAGAAAAATATAACACATGCATTTTATATTTAATATGAGGGAAATACACATGAGGGATGTGACACAAAAAAAAAAATCATTTTTAACTTTTTTTAATTTAACTTTTAGGTGGCAAAATATGTTTTAGTAATTCTGTGAAATGTGTAAATTACACTGCTGTGACAGTGCAGTAAGTTATACGGCTTTACTTTCACTTTGAACGGAAAGGGCGGAGTGACTAATTGAGGCTAATTAACGGCGGAAAGGGATATTAAGGAAAGGTATATTTAACAAAGGGGAAAGAGGACACGTCACCGAGGTATGTTGGTTTGACCTGTGAGTGGAGTTAGCGACTACCGATGTAGAATGGACTTTGTCCTGTGATGGGTGAACCGAGGCTTCCTTCTCATGCTGCCTGTTGCGACGTGGAGTCTGGAGACTTCCAATACGACGCACCTCAAAGACCGGCGGTTTTAAGTGAACTGTTCACCCAAACAACGGGTTAGCTTCCCTCCGGGAGCCTGACGAAGACCTCCCGCTCGCCTGATGCGATTTCTGTCTGATTCCGTCTGCCAAAACTGGTCAGTGTGTTCTACGCTCAGTCATAAACTACACGTTCACACACACACACACACACATACACACACACGCATTCCATTCATATCCGCATATTTTGTTACTGAATATCTATGCTTTTTGATTGTGAATTTGAATCTGTGCTTTCGTTGGTATATGTGATTCCAATATGTGTTTTGCTCTTTTCTTTCTTTGTTTTCCCTTTTCTTTATAAGTTTGGCGGGACTATCGACACTCGAAACTGCCTGTGTGGACGACCAGATTGAGTGTCAACCCCGTTCTATTGTTTTGTATTCATGTGAGAACTGATATTGAACTCTAATGTTGAGAATACCTATTCATGCTGACTAATTGATTTATTTTGCTTTCAAAATCAGTAACTTCTGATGTTGTAATAAATTACCGTTAAACTTAAACCTTTGATATTTGTTTTTGTGTGTAATCAGTGGTTTTCTTTGCTATCTTGGGTTGTTTAAGTTTTGTCAGTTTTATAAAACTGTCTGGCGCCCGAACTTTCTGTGTGAAATAATTAATTTAAGATTAGGGCACCACCGGCCACTGTTACACTGCGCAAACCTAAAGTAAAACTACCCACCGGATGAAGAAGCGTTGGCTCTCTCCACAGAACATAAAATATTCATTTTATTTTATTTTTCATGTTTGCATTAATGAGAAAAAAAAGCAACGGACGTGACGGTTCACTGAAAGCGGCACTAAAAGACTGCCAGAGACCTCAAACAGAAAGCACTAAGCCTTTATTTGAAGTTAATTTAATTTTGTGTTAATGGTATCTTAATTTTAATCAATGTTTCATCAACAAATTACCTGGATTTAATAAATAATAAGTAAATATAGCAGACAATAATCAGGCAGGTGAATGTGCTACAATATTTCTCTCCGAAACGGTAAGAAATTAATAAAGATTCAATGGAGGATTTTATCTGTGACAAGATGATTGACAGTGCAGTTTACGGTAGGATGTACGCGACAGATCTGTCCGTCAAAGATGACAAAGTTGTATGTGCCAAAGCTTATCTACTCTTTTGCTACAAACTCAAAAGTATGTATAAAAGATTGGTAGAAACCTCAGTTTGTGTTCATGCCAAGAGTTCAAAAGATAACACCAATTAAATTTCATGAGAAAAAAAAGGTTTGATTTTTTTTTTTAAATATAAAGAAAAATAGTATGGATTCTTGATTTGTGATGCGGCTGCGAGCTATAACGCACATATGTGCTCTTTTTATGCATTTATTAGAGAAATTAGAGAAAAACGAGATTATGTGATCGCTGGATTCAATGCAAAATCAGCCAAAGTCCGCATATTTATGTGGGGGCCGCATTTTTTCAAATACGCCGCACTTTCGCCGCATAAATTGCAGATTTCCGTGCAAAATATGCGGGGTTTGCATAATTTCATAATCCTCGCATTTTCGTTGCAAAAAAGTCACATGTATCTTAGCAGAAAGTTGAAAAATGTTGCGTTTGCTTCACACAAGAGCAGCCATTTCCCCTGTTTCCATGGGAACGTTATGAAGTGACGCAATTACGCAACGCCAGACAGACTCACGGAGGCGATTGACATCTCAAAAATCTCGTATAACTGTCTGTCACACGTTCTACCGTCACATCGTTACTTAATAAACAACATAAGATAAAAGAAGTAGCATCAAACAGAAATTACCCGCACACATGGGGTGTTCGAGGCGCACATATAACACTGCAGACAGCTCTTAAAGGGGCCACACCTTATTTACACTCGTTACAGTCTGAAATAAAACAAGATGAGAAATTAAATATTCCCAGCACTTTTTTTCTCTTTTTCATCAAACCGCAATTTTTGCAAGTTCCCTCAATTTTTGAAAATTCCTGCAATTTCATCGCATAAAATTGCATAAATATCCTGCATATTCCATCGCATTTTTAAAGAAAACAGGCCGCGTAATCAATCAATTTTTGCCAGCAAACAATCACAAAAAAACTCTGCGTTTTTCTGGAAGGACTGAATACTATTATGGTAAATGTTATATATAAATCGCACATTTTTTCACAAATTTTTGGAAATTACCACCACAAAATCAGTCATTTTGATCGCAAAAATCACAAAAAAAAATCGTGAAATCCTGGAGGGACTGAAATGCATTTCATAAATTGTATAAACATAATGGAAATACATGGTTCAGAATCACTCTTAAATTACAACCATTTAAGTTTGGATAGTGTCAGTTAAAGGGTAAAAGACTTATATGTGAATGTCCACTATCTCAAACAGAACACTTATATGTCATGATACACACACAGGAAACGATAGATCAAAGAGCAGTATTTACTTGGGGCAATCCAGTCAGCCAGGCAAAGGGTCAAAAATCCAGAAAGGCAGACCAAAACATGAAACAAAACATGAAACAAAACAAGAAGCAGACAGAATGCAGACAACCGAAGTGTGGTGACAATAAACAAGGAATCCACAATGAACAGAAACAGACAGGGTATAAATAGCCAGGTGCAATTGATGTGAGTGGGAACAGCTGTGAGCAATGATCAGTAAGTGACAGAACAGGATGATGGGAAATGCAGTTCCAGATAAGGTGGTGACAGTAAAAGGGAAGAGACTTCTAGTGGTGAGTCAGGGAAACACAACCCAAACACTGTGACATTATATCAATGCAAAGAGTTCTTAAACCTGCAGTATGTGTTTGTAATGCAATAGACAACAAATAAGCCATGATGTCCATTACACGAGAGTAGATCTTAAAAACTTCATGCTGATTTGTAATCGGCTTTGGCTAAGACGTAGCTTTACAGTCACCTATGCTTCCCCATTCATTTATGCTTCATTCCATATGGTGATGTGAATCTCCTTCTCTCCGGCGTTAACGGCTGCAGTGTACTTGGCGTGTCTACACACACAATGGCTGCAACTACACTGTGGTCTACCCAGTGGACGAGCACGACAACCGTCTGGATTGAGCCGAGTAGGGGACATCTCTAGGGTGTTCAGTGGGCACCTTCCGTCCTCAGTGTTTCGTCGACTAGCCCACGACACCTCAAGAGGGCTCAACAGTGACCCTGGCGTCCCAGAGTCACCCCCCTCCGTCCCCCACTCAACTCAGCCCAGCTTACTGACCTCTACATCTCTCCTGCTGCTGAGACCTAACCACAATCTCTCAATCTCTCTGCAACCCAACCATATGCGCCAACACGTTTGATAATGGCTGTCGAGCCCCACTGGTGCGTTATTAAGCAGTTTCAGTGGCAACAGTTCCGTATGGCATACTACCTACCGCAAAACACAATATCTGCCCAACCACCAACCCTCATTCACACAATATACACAGGAACGTAATAACTGTAATTATTATACAAATAAACAAACAGACTCTACGAAACCGTAGCGTGGCAGCCTGTACATAGCCAGCTAGAATCTTTCCGTCTCAACCACAGGCAGTTGCTGCTCCTCTCTGCTGCTTCAGATCAGTTCTTTACTGTGCGACGCAACTCTTGGCAACTGAATCCGATGTCTCTGAGGAACTGGGTTGTTGAGTGTGCCACAAAACTTCGACAACCCACTTCCACTGGATAAACTTAGACTCTCCATCCTCGCTGTTATGCCTCAGTGGCCAGATGAGCATACAGCAGTTTCTTCCTCTCATATGCCTCATCTACCGCATCCTCCCATGACACTGTTAACTCTATCAGCTGAACAATGCGTGCTGATCCAGACCACAAAACAATATCTGGTCGTAAGTTAGTGGTAGCAATCTCAGGTGGAAAAATAAGCCGTTGATCAAGATCAGCCAGCATCTTACAGTCCCTAGCAGTTTCCAGTTGTCCTGGGCGAGAATTGGTGTTAACACCTTTTCTTGGTGGTTGCTCGCCTGGGTGGAGGAATAATGTCTTCTGCGTGTAAAATAATCACAGACACACTAAAATCCCATTTGACTCCTTTAATTATATGTATATAATTCATTTACTCTATAGTATAATGAGATGCTCATTTAAAATTGGAATAGTTTTATAAATATATTTTCATGTGATTCTTGGAGATTTCTGATCATCAAGGCGTATTTCTGCCTAAACAAAGGATTGATCATCTTTACCTACAGACTTATTGTAAAATGCAGACACTGTTATAACAATTACATGACTGAGCTCTTACTGGACTGTAGCGTGTTAGCGAGGTCTGTCTGGTTCATCATCCTCAGGGTGGTTAGTGTGATCTTTAGAACCCCCTCTTTGATCTGACCTTCATCATCCTCCTCTCTGTCAGAGCATGCTGGGTAATCTTGGCTAAGTAGTCCCTTAAACTGCATCAGCTGGTTCTTCATCAAAGAGAATATTTTGTGCTCAAGCTCCTGAAATAAGTGTTAAATCACAGTGAATATTTAAAGAATAAATCTCCATTCTGTATCAGAGAGGCTAAGCTAAAATATTGTTAGGACGTGGAGAATGTAACTCCTACACTGATACTTTAACTGACATGGACAAGAGATCTGTGTGTGTGTGTGTGTGTGTCTGTGAGAGAGTGAGTGAGTGAGTGAGTGAGTGAGAGAGAGAAAGAGAGAGAGAGAGAGAATAAAACTTACATTGAAAATGGAGTCCAGCTGCTTCTTTTCACAGGTGGAATTTGATTCCTTATGTCTGTGACTGTAGTCAAACAAGAAAATATTTAAATTCATTGTACATAAACATTTAACCATTTACTCCCCAATTCAGTAGATGGCTGAATGTGTGTATTTGTCAGTAGTGTAAAGTCCAGCGGACTCATTTATAAAACTGTGCATAGAATCCTTACTAAAATTGTACGTGCACCCGAAATAAAAGAAAAAAACTTTCGTATGCCAGAACCTGCACAGAATTGACTTTATAAATCCCAGTAAACCGAAGATTGTGCACACATGCGTCTCCTCCCCGAAATAACCATATATGGAGCTTACAACGCCTATAGTTTAAATATGCACATCCTCATCTGCATATCATTTGCATATGATTATTCATCCACGTGATACCATGTTAAGGTACAAGACGTTAGGAAAATATGAAATACAGATGTGCCGTGTCACAATAAATTATTAATAGTATATAGCCTACTATATCATTGCCTTGTTTTTGAATTAATAAATCAAATAGTGTAAAATACATTTCAGAGAAATATTTTCTCAGTCTTTTCCACTGGCCAAATAGTATTTTTAATGAATTTATATTTTTAATGGAAACAGATAGACATGGTTGTGCATTATTTGCATGGAATTATTTTCTCAGACAATCTGCTATTATCATGATTATCTCTAGTTAAAATATTAAAACACAGCATGCCAGAGGGAAAGTGTTCAAAAGCATTGCATCCACAACAAATATATATTTCTATTTATTGAATATAATTTTTTGTAACTTCTCAGTAATAATTTCATGTAGTTTAAGAGTTTAACTCCATTAATGAGAATGGCATATTTAATCTAAATGTTTATATCAGAAGTAAAACATGGCGTAAATCATTCTTTCATTTATTAAAACTGTTATTGACAACATACACTGTATTTATTACATTTATCATGACTCATGTCTATATGTCTATATCTATGTATGATATGTTTGTCAGTTTCAATAAACGGCCCAACACGCTACAGGACACATAAAGAGCATATTGCAGGTAAAAAAAAAAAAAAAAAAATCGAAATTTATAGATAGCCTTGTATGAATACCATATGAAAAGTTAATGGAGGATTTAAAATGTTTTAAAACAACATAAGGGCACTAATTTAGTCAATAAACTGCTATTAAAAACGCCTTTTTTTTCAACATTGCGTCATTTGACGTCATATCAGGGAGCCGCAGCCTCGGCTCAGTAAAGAGTCGGCTGGTATTCAGTGAGAGTGCTCGTCAGTCAGTGTGCTTTTGGTACTTTTTGTATTTTAATTTATCATCGTCATGGTACATTATTGTGTTTGTGGAGGTTGCAAAAAATCCAGCCTGTCAGGACTTCAAGATCGAGTCCACAAGTTTCCATTACAAGAACAGGGACAGTGCTATATAGCCTATCTTTCGTTCCTGGTGCGGTTTGAGCAGGTGAAGAGACAAGATTTCACTTCCGTATCGGCTTCGGAATACGCGGTCGTGTGTAGCGTTCACTTCAGATCAAATGATTAGCATCCCGGCGATATGATGGAGTTCAACATGGGATGCCGAAGCAAGAATATTGATTGTCGTATACTATACCAATGGCATCAAATAGTGTGATATAGGTAACTTAGTCATGTTATGCCCTAAATAGAGGCACAAAATTGGTTGTTTAAATACTCAAATCTTTAATTTTCTGTTTATGTTATAACCCAGGTGAAAAATATGTATTAAAAATGTACCTGAGTATAGCCTATGCTTTTAGTACAATAGAAATATACTCAAAAGTGAAGTTTTTATACATTTAATAGTATAAAAATCTACCCTAAACGTACTAATGTCTGCTGGCCTGTTATAGGATACAATATTGTGAGCACAGTGTATATCGTTAGCGAGCGTGTACATCTATAAGCACGCCTCTCACCTAAAAGGCACCTGTCCTGTTCTCCACTGGTTCTCCTCACATCACAACTCAATTTGTCTCTGACCATTCTGTCTGACATTATCCTGGCCTGTCCTGCTCTCTTTAGCATAGCAGGCTCATAACTTTATGGCTTGATCCGTCATACGAGTATTTCCTCAGCGTCTGAAATGTCATGCGATCCATTGTTTTCCTGTTGTGTGAATCGACGGCTCTCCCGCTCATTGCGTCACGCCCGCCACGCCCATTTTCAGACGCGGAAGTAAAATTTTCTCACAAAAACGACTGCAGAAGCTTCTGTAGCGTGTTTATACGTATATTTTAAAGAAAATCTAGTTCCTACATTGTTTTTCTATGCATTGACTCGTTGGGTCCTCTAACCTGCTATATGCCCTTAAAGAAGGGATATATAATGGCTTCAAGTGATAGGCTTGGTGAGTGAAACTATATTTGTAGGCTATTATCTTTCTGTAGCCTATTGGCTATAATTAGGGCCCGAGCACTAACAGTGCGAGGACCCTCTTGAAACTGTTAGGGTTATTTTTAGGGCCCGAGCACTAACAGTGCGAGGACCCTCTTGAAACTGTTAGGGTTATTTTTTTTCTTTTTTCTTTTTTCTGCAAAGTAAGCGTACACTCCGTACTTTAACGAACTCCTCCTAGGGATTTAGTCGGATCGACTTCAAATTTCTACTGTGCCTTCTAAAGGCATTGACGATGAAAAGTTGTGCTATCTGCGCGTTTTCCTCAATGGGCGTGTCCGTGGCGGCGATGATTCGCCATGAAAGAGGAAGTTGTAGTAACTTGGCTGTAAATGCCAAGATCTGCACGAAATTTTACACATTTGACAAGAGTCCTGCCCTGAACAAATCTACATGCTGACATTCACCCTAAGTCATAGCACCACCTGCTGGCAACAGGAAGTGACCTTTACCGAAGCAGCGAACCAAATTCACAGCCGCACCGGCTGAGCTGTAGAATATGCAACGCGGCCGTCTCACACCCCAACGCGCTACAGGTGCGAGGGCCCGCCCTTCGCTGCTTGCAGCTTTAATTTTTAGGGGCCGAGCACTAACAGTGCGAGGACCCTATTGAAACTGTTAGGATTATTTTTTTTCTTTTTTATTTTTTATTTTTTCTGCAAAGTAAGCGCCATTTTCGGGGCCGCAACATGCTCAAAAACTCACCAAATTTGGCACGCATGTCAGGACTGGTGAACAATTTCGTATTTTGTGGGTTTCGCAGATGGGCGTGGCAAAATGGCACACTAGCGCCACCTAGAAAATTGGAAAAAATTAGCCCCTCGTCCACGTTCAACCTACATGCACGAAATTTGGTGGGGACATGTATCATATCAAGATGCACAAAAAATCCTCAAGAACCCATACCATTAACTCGACAGGAAGTCTGCCATTTTGAATTTGGCGGCCATTTTTGGACGATTTACACACTCCGTACTTTAACGAACTCCTCCTAGGGATTTAGTCGGATTGACTTCAAATTTCTGCTGTGCCTTCTAAAGGCATTGACGATGTAAAGTTGTGCTCTCTGCGCGTTTTCATCGATGGGCGTGTCCGTGGCATCGATGATTCGCCATGAAACAGGAAGTTGTAGTAACTTGGCTGTAAATGCCCAGATGTGCACGAAATTTGACACATTTGACAAGAGTCCCGCCCTGAAAAAATCTAGATGCCGACATTCACCCTAAGTCGTAGCGCCACCTGCTGGCAATAGGAAGTGACCTTTAACGTAGCAGCCCCCGCCATATGTTTGACCGACATGTACGAAATTTCTGTGGTACATCTACCATGACCAGACGTACAAAAAAGCCTCAAGAACCTACACCCTAAACTCGACAGGAAGTCCGCCATTTTGAATTTGGCGACCGATTTGGGACGATTTACACACTCCGTACTTTAACGAACTCCTCCTAGGGATTTAGTAGGATCAACTTCAAATTTCTGCTGTACCTTTTAAAGGCATTGACGATGTAAAGTTGTGCTAACTGCGTGTTTTCGTCGATGGGCGTGTCCGTGGCGTCGATGATTCGCCATGAAACAGGAAGTTGTAGTAACTTGGCTGTAAATGCCCAGATCTACACTAAATTTTACACATTTGACAAGAGTCCCGCCCTGAACAAATCTACATGCCGACATTCACCCACAGTCATAGCGCCACCTACTGGCAACAGGAAGTGTCCTTTAACGAAGCAGCCCCCGTCGCATGTTTGAGCGACATGTAGGAAATTTCTGTTTTACATCTACCATGTTCAGACGCACAAAAAAGGCTCTTGGAGCAATGCCCTAAACTCAACAGGAAGTCGGCCATTTCTAATTTTACCGCCATTTTTGGATGATTTACTCATTACATACTTTAACTAACTCCTCCTAGGCATTTAGTCAGATCGACTTCAAATTTCTGCTGTGCCTTCTAAAGGCATTGACAATGTAAAGTTGTGCTCTCTGCGCGTTTTCATCGATGGGCATGTCCGTGGCGTCGATGATTCGCCATGAAACAGGAAGTTGTAGTAACTTGGCTGTAAATGCCCAGATCTGCACCAAATTTTACACATTTGACAATACCGCCCTGAACATATCTAAATGCCGACATTCACCCACAGTCATAGCGCCACCTGCTGTTAACCGGAAGTGACCTTTAATGAAACAGCGTAGCACATTCACAGCCGCACCGGCTGAGCTCCAGAATATGCAACGCAGCGGCCTCACACCCCGACGTGCTACAGGTGCGAGGGCCCGCCCATCGCTGCTTGCAGCTTTAATTAGGGCCCGAGCACTAACAGTGCGAGGACCCTATTGAAACTGTTAGGATTATATTTTTTCTTTTTTCTTTTTTCTGCAAAGTAAGCGCCGTTTTCGGGGCCGCAACATGCTCAAAAACTCACCAAATTTGGCATGCGTGTCAGGACTGGTGAAAAATTTCGTATTTTGTGGGTTTCGCGGATGGGCGGGGGAAAATGGCTCCCTAGCGCCACCTAGAAAATTGCAAAAAATTAGCCCCTCGTCCACGTTCAACCAACAAGCACGAAATTTAGTGGGGTCGTGTAACATTTCAAGACGCACAAAAAAGCCTCAAGAACCCATACCCTAAAC